CGCACGGGAGCCGCGGGGGAGGCCCCGAAAGCGCCGGCTGCTCCCTCCTCCCGCGGAGAAAGGGAGCATGGGGAGAAAGGTAAAAGCTCCCGTTCAAGAAATTCCTTGGACGCAGCTTACCCTTTCCCTGGATGAAACGCGGCTCAGGAGTTTCTGCAGTATTGCTGCCTTTTTTTTTTTTTTTTTTTTTTTTTTTTTCTTTTCTGTTTAAAGAGGCGCCTTAAAGCAGAGTGCCGAGGCTTCAGGAAAATGCCCACGTCGGGGAAATGGGCTTATTCATAGCAAAAAAAAGAGACAGAAATGGTGCAAGCAGGCGAGCTGCCATAGGCACTCCCCCCTGGTCACTTTGGGCTCATTTCAGGACATTAGTGCTAGTGCTCAGCATCCGTTTGCTCCTGCAGCTTTCCAGGTGGGCACAGTTGAGTCCGCGACCTGCTCCCGCCACCCAGGGGCCCCTGGGATTATTTTAGGAATCCTCGCTGCCTTGCTGTCCTGGCTTGTTTTTTGCTTTTTTTTATATATACAATTAGGTTAATGGGTTCCCAGGTCTTAACATGCCCATGAAGGCTGGAGTTGCTGGCTCGGCAGCGTGGGTTCTGCATCAGCAGAGGGTTTTTCCCGTTTCTTGTCTTTTTTTTTCTCTCACCTGGCCCTTGGTTTCATGCCCAGCCCTTTTCTGCTTCGGTGCAGCTGGAACAGTGTGGATAGCAAGAAGGGCCGAGAGAGCAAACTTCTGCTTTTTGCTTTTTTTTTGCCATTTTTGTTAACGAATGCAAAGCTTCCTGTGTCTGCTCCGCCGCTGCCAACCGCAGACCCACTGCAATAAATACATAGTGCAAGCACAGGCGTACATGGACATATAGCAAATTAAATGTGGCTTTCGTGTGGAATGAATGGACCACATGAGACTTGCTGTTGTCTTGGACAACTCCTGTTCCTTGTGGAAAAAGGCCTGGCAGCTCCACTCTTGAGTTGTGTGCAGGGATTCACCCCCTTGGTGGGAGCTGAAGGGCTTGGGAGGCATCACTGGCTGCATCTGGCAGCTCTCCAGGGGCTACAGCAGCTTCAGAAAGGGGCTGGTGGGTCTGAAGGCACTTTGGAAAGCAGATAGTGGGGTTTTGAACTGGAGATAGGCCTTAAAGAATTTGGGTGTGCCCCAAGACCAGGATTTGTTGAAATGGTCTTGAGATGGGACCTTAATGCATGTTCTTCTGAAAACTTTGGCTAGGATGAGGGCATTTGCATGTGCATCGGAAGGGTTGTGAAGACCATGGCCAAAATGTTAATGTGCAGTCTCATCATTGCTTCCAAGGTCTTCAATTCTTCTTTTTTTTTATCCCTTTAGATTCCCAAGTTCTTCAGGAGCCAGGGGATCGGTCACACTGGTGCGTGGTGGCATACTGGGAAGAGAAGACGCGCGTGGGTCGGCTGTATTCTGTCCAAGAGCCCTCCCTGGATATCTTCTATGATCTACCTCAGGGGAACGGTTTCTGCCTCGGCCAGCTCAATTCGGACAACAAGAGCCAGCTGGTGCAGAAGGTGCGCAGCAAAATCGGATACGGTATCCAGCTCACCAAGGAAGTGGACGGCGTGTGGGTCTACAACCGCAGCAGTTACCCCATCTTCATCAAGTCGGCCACACTGGACAACCCCGACTCCAGGACGTTGCTGGTTCACAAAGTGTTTCCAGGGTTTTCCATCAAGGCGTTCGACTACGAGAAGGCGTACAGCCTGCAGCGGCCGAACGACCATGAGTTCATGCAGCAACCATGGACCGGATTTACTGTTCAGATCAGCTTTGTGAAAGGCTGGGGCCAGTGCTACACGAGACAGTTCATCAGCAGTTGCCCGTGCTGGTTGGAGGTTATTTTTAATAACCGATGACTCGAGACAGTGGACTCATGACATTTATACTACTTTGCTGCTATTATTTCCTTCTGAGTGCTTGCTTTTCATGCAAACTTTTTTTGTTGTTGTTGTTGATGTTGTTTTTCTTTTGTTTTGTTTTGTTCGTTGTTTTTTTCTGTTTTTTCTTTTTTTCCTGTTTTGAGAAATAGCTTATGGAAAGATTTTTGCCTTGGCGCTTTGATAAATCTTGTCTATTTTTTAAAGGCGCGAATGACCAATAACTCAGAAGGGCAAGAGCGAAGGCGCGGGAAGGGCCGGGGCCGGTTGCGTACGGTCGTTATCTCCCTGCTCCGGTGACCGGATGCGCTCCGTGCACTTGGGAGTCACTTGCTGCTTGCTAAGGCAGCACATCTCATCTGAAGCCAAGCTGAGACCCTCTCCCAGTGGATGCTGGTCATGCAAAACCTTGCAAATCAGGTTTTTTTGCTCCTCCATTTTATATTTTTTGTGATTTGATGTTTTTTCGAAGCGTCCAGCTCGTGGCGTTCACACCTGGCCATGGTACCACGGGAGCGCTGGGGGAGGCGATGCTCGTCCTTTCCCAGCTTTTTTTTTTGTCACGGATTTATAGGAGGGGAAGAAAAATGAAAAAGATGGTGGAGAAGACTATGCCCAGCCCGTGCTTTGCAATTTGAGCTGAGATGCAAAGTGACAGAAACATAAGCCTAAGAAAAACAAAAAAACAACAAAACAGAACAAAACAAAGGAAAACGAACGGGAGTGGTGGGGAGTTGACAAAAAAAAAGAAGTGTTCATGATAGTTGGTCTGTTGGAACCTGCTTAGATCAGGTTGTCCCGGTACCATCGTATCTGGAAATGCAGTTGTGCTTTCATTTCTTCTTGAATTCATACACAAGTATGATACTTTTACACTGTTCTTAGCTCAATGAGCATGTTTAGACCTTAACATAAGCTATTTTTCTAAATATAAAGGTTTAAATGAACAAGAGAGCATTCTCATTGGAACTTTAGCATCGTAGTGCTTTGGAAATAAAACACACAAAAAAAGGACTCCTTAAAAAAACTCTGAGATTTATTAAAGAAAAAATGTATTTTATGTTATATATAAATATATTATTACTTGTAAATATAAAGACGTTTTATAAGCATCATTATTTATGTATTGTGCAATGTGTATAAACGAGAAAAATAAGAAAGATGCACTTTGCTTTAATATAAATGCAAATAACAAATGCCAAATTAAAAAAAAAAAGAACACGAGATTGGTGTTTTTTTCTATGGGTGTTATCATCCAGATGAATGTTTTTTTCTAAAGGAGTTTATGTTCCATTAAAAAATAAAAATGTACACTTGATCCAAGGTTTTGCAGAGTGGCTTTTTCAGTAGATGAAGCAGATAGATAGGAGATGCTTGAGGCTATTGTGAGGGGAATCTAGCAGAGATGAAGTATAGCAGAGGTGGCCTAGCAGGGATGGGCGATAGCAGGGATGGGTGATAGCAAACATGAAGTCTAGCAGAGAAAGGGTCTAGCAGAGATGAGGACTATGGATAGAGTCTAGTAGAAACAGAGTCTAGCAAAGACAGAGTCTAGTAGAGATGGGGTCAAGTGTGGATGGGGTCTAGTAGGGACGGGGTTTAGAAGAGACGAGGTCTATCAGAGATTGGGTCTAGCAGAGCGGGCTGCAGCTGGGAGTGAGATACATCTAGATGTGTTGTGCAGTCCCTTTTCAGTGTTGCCACCAAATATGCCATTTTTTTTTTGCTTGTTATTGCCCATCTTTGACCTCCTTTGCTACTAAGTGGTGTCTCCTATTGGAATGGGATGAAGCTGCAGATGACCAGATGTGTTTAAAGTCACAAGGTTGAAGAGTCTCTCCCTCAACAGGAGGGGAAACCTCAGCAGTTTTTTTCCAGCTGTTTCCTTTTTTTTTTTTTTTCCTGTGATCTCTCACACCATTAATGAGCCTCTGGAAATGAAGGTCCTGCTTTCTTCTGATACCCTTCTGACCCTGCCTTTAGGCTTTGCCTAGTCCAGGCTGTGCCGCATCCCACCCTCGCTCTGTCCTCCGCCGGCAAAAAGGCAGTCGGAACTGGTGCAATCCTTGCCATTCATGGATGAGGACATCTCTTAAGAGGAAGCTACTACAATCCTGGATGCTTCAGACAGGCAATGATATCCAGATGGGCTTGTAGACTTTCCTGCAAAGTGCCTCAACCTTGGGAATTCACATTCTTCACTTCTGCTGTCCATCATGTTTGATGACTGTAATTATAGTTGAGACTTTGCAAGCATCTGGACTAGGTTTGCCTAATGTTGTGCCCTTTAGTTCAGTGGAGAAGCACTGGATGGGATCAGCTGAAATACTAAGAATATTTGGTTTGTTCTCAGCAGTCTGCTGTTCTCAGCAGGTTCAGCTGGAGGTAGGTCATCCAGCCCGTGAGGCAGATCCAGAATGGTTTTTGGTCCCATGTGGAGCTAGAACGAGGGGTTTGGATATGAGCCTTTGGTCTCATTTTTGAAGTGGTGATCAGCATCCAAAGCTGAGTGCCTCATGTCTGTACCCATCTTGTCTTCCTTGCAGAGTGCTGAAATGATGCCTGAGAAGACAGATGTCAGACCAGTTTCATCTGCACTACAATTTGGCTCATTTCCTTTTCGCTTGGTGCCAACAGACTTGAAATATTCGGTAAGCACAGCACATCTTTTCTATGGTCCAGTGGCCAGACTAGTGCTGATGGTTTGCGTTAAAGGCTCAAAAACCAGCACTCCTGCCCAGGTCTTGGTCACCCACCCAGGGATCACGACATGCAAGGCCTTGCAGATGAAGGCTAAAACCTACTATTTTATTGCAAAACCGACCGCTGACTCCCCTGAGCTTTTGTAGCGTTTATTGCCCAGAATGGGGCAGCATCTTAGGTTGGAAAGACCCCTCCAAGCCGCGGAGTTACTGGACTTGATGCCCACATTAGGGTTGCAGCTGGCCACGAGCTGGATTTATCCTCCTCACTGGAGGATGGTCCATAGCAGACTCTCCAACGCCTGTGTCCTTCTGAGGCTCCCTGTTGTGTGACTAGACAAGAGTTGTCTGTGTAGAGGAGATGAGCTGGTGGTTTTGTCCCTGTTTTGTGATGCCAAAGCATCACAGAGCCACATAGGCGCACCAGAGAGCTGGCAAAGACTGGCTGGTTGACAGATGTTTTATGGATGTTTTCACTCTGTTAAGCAAGGTAGAGCATGTTCTGGTGGTTAAAACCCTGAAGCCTGGAGATTTTGCTTCTTGTCTCTGCTTATCTATCCATGAGATAGATACAATCGAATCATTTAACCTTTCAATTTCTCAGGGTTTCTTCTTGTTATGAAGCTCTCCTGGGACCTTTCTGTTTTTCCTTGGAAGGAAAATGATGCAAAGGAGGATTAAAATGTTGTACACCTAAAGTAATACCTACGTGGCTGGAATAGGAAGTAGTTTGAAGGTGAAAGCAGAGTTTGGAGGTTAAAGTCGGCGGGAGAAATTCACCTTGGTTGAGCTTGGGCAATGCTGTCGGCCCATGGCTTGGTCTCAGAAAAGCTGCACTGACCTGGTGCCAACCTGCCCTGCTCGTCCCGATCCGCTCCCGTTAGCTCCGTGCTCCCTCCTGGCAGCCGAGCGCCGTCCGTAGCGCTCGCTCCACGCGCGTCCCCCCGCTGCTGGCGGAAAGCCAGCCTAAAACACATAGGCTTACATAAACTCCGCTCCGAGGGCTGGAGGCAATTTGTCTGAAATGTTGTTATGTGGCTGCTCTTGATCTGGTCAAATTTGGATGATCCTCTAATGCGCAGATTAACGGGCAGAACCACAGCCCCAGACTGCTCCGGAAGAGAGGAGCGGTGCGGAAGGACAGAGACGGCATCTTCCTGGATGAAAACACCCATATCCGGACTCCAGGGTGTTCCTGGACGGGAAAGCCAGGTCTTTTTTGCTCCGTGCCTGCTCCTTCCTGTAGTGCCCCGCTTTTGACATGTCCCAATTGGCTCCTTGGCTGGCAGTGGCAAGAGGCGATGAGAATTAACCAGTCCACGCCAGACTTGCAGTGATGACCATCTCACACTGCTGATGGAGGGACCCACAGGCAGCTGGTCTTCAGTGTAAGGAGCTTTGTGAGCCTTGTTGCAGAAGGATCATTCGTGAGCATTTTTCCAATAAAGCCACGGTGGCCCAGCGAGCTCGTGTGTTGCCATGCTCTGTTTTCCCTGGAAACTGCTGCGTTTCCTGCTCTTTCCTTGTTGGAAATCACCTTAAAGCCCATTCCCTTAAGAAGCTCTGGCTGGAGCTGGTGGAGTCAGTTTCAAATCCTGATTTCCCATGGGATGGCTGTATATGTCTCCCTGCTCCCCGCCTTCCGCAAGCATTCCTCTGGAAAGCTGGGATGTCTGAAATCAGCCTTCTACAGTTCACTGCAATCTTGTTTTGTACCAAGGCTCCAGAGTAATCAGTACTAAATCTTCTAATGATATACTGCAAGCCAGTGAATTACAGCATGGTTGGGTCTTTTCTTTCCAGTGTGGCTCTGCTGAGCAGCAACTGGAAAGTACAATAAAGAAGAGTCAAACCATGTAATTTTTTGCTGATAAATCATATGTGAAATATGCTCAAACTGTCAACTGCTGATAAAAGACTGTCTGCAATGGCTAAGGACAGAAGTAAAACTTCTCAAGATTATCAGAATAAGTGTCTTACCATGGCACAGATATGTGATCCTGGTGTTATGTAGGTAACCCTAGTTCCTTGTTCATCCCAAACTGTGTGGGCTCTCTTGGTTTGCAAGTTCATTGCAAGGTTTATTAGGTTGTTTAGCCCATGAAACCATCAGGACAAAGTGGCGACTCTGGGCTGGTCATTCAACAGAGTCTCAATTCAAAAAGCAAGTCCTTGGAAAAGAATTTGCTTTACACTAGTTGTACTTTGCTCTGAGTGGAAAGTTGCAGCCGTGGAGCTTAGCCCAAAAACTGTAGCTCAAGGCAGGTCTGTGCACTTATGCATGTCCTGCTTTGCAAGGACTTCTGGAGTACCATGAGAAGACATGCTATCGTTGGGGATACCATTAAAAGGCTTTTTCCTAAGAGTCTCCATCCAAGAAATGATGTGTGGTGCTACACCAGATACAGCAGTGGCCAGTGCTGCCCTGGTTGCCTGCCCTCACCTGCTGTCACAGCAGAGCTCAAGGGACAGCCCAAGGCTCTCCAACAAGTCATTGTATGACTTTCTGGGCAGCTTGCAGTAAAAACAAAACAAAAACCAAAACATTTGAAG